ACCTGGAGAGTTGAGAACTCATTTTTTATAATCTTAGTGGGCCCAGATGAGCTAACGCTCTGAGTTCTGGGTCCCAATTACAGAAATCCATAAGCTTTTATAGGGTTTCCCACATCGTTTCTTAGCAGTCACGGCGTTAGTGGGTTCAGATTGTAGCCTACATGACTTCCAACACAAATATGTATGTGCTGTAAGTCATTACAGGAAATTCCTTTCATGGGCAGTGTGTTCGTAGAAACAGCTATTGCAGGCAAGGGCTAAAACACCCTCAGCTGGCACCGGCACAATAGTTAACAGATGCTTCACCAGGTAACTGAGGGCTCCGCTTCGGCCCTTTTGTGTTCTTCATTTTAATTTTACCACCTGTGGTGGTTCGAATGCGAATGCCCCCCATAGGCCCCAAGTAGTTGGACATTTTGTCCTCAGTTGGTAGAGCTATTTTGGAAGCTCTTAGAAGGTGTGGCCATGCTGGAGGAAGCAGGTCACTGAGGGCAGGCTTAGAGAGTCCATAAGCCTTGTGGGATCTCCAGTCACTCTCTGCTTCCTGTGCCTGCTTGAAGCTGTGAGAGCTTAGCTTCTCCTCCTCCAGCCACCTCTGCCACCATGCCTCCCCGCCATGATGGACTCTTGTCCCTCTGGAACTGTAAACTAAATAAACTCCTCCTTTTATAAGTTCCCTTGGTCACAGTGTTTCTGTCACAGCAACAGAAAAGTAACTAATACACCATCTCTATCAGTGTACTTCAGTATTTAGTAGTAAGGCACTGCTGAGATTACAGGGTGACTTCTAGTTGTTCTAAGCATAGTAAAGTACAAGAATCAGCCATAGGAAAATTATCTCAAACACACAGAGAGCAACATTTAATGCACAGGCACACTTCTTTTCCCATTCAAAGTAACAATCGTGACAATCCCCCACAGACAGGCCTGATTTGATTTAGGCAGCTCCTCAGTAGATTTCCTCTCAGATGATTCTGGGCTGTGCCAACTTGACAAAGCTAACTAGGACATTGCCCGCCTAGGTGCTGCTGTCTAGGCACGTGGCACCCCTTCGCTCCTGTGTTCCCCTCACCTAATTTTGCCTCAGATTTCACATTCTAAAAATTGCCTCTCCTGACCCCTATTTAAAGCTACACTTGCTCGGTGCACCTCATGTACAATCTGCCACTTCCAACTCCCCTTCCTGTTCTATGCTGGTTTTCTTCACATAATTAAGGATTGATATATGTCAGATACATTTACATCATCCCTTCTACTCATTGCCACACTTCTCACTGTGCAACTTCCTCCTTTAATCCTCAGAAGCAAAGGACCTTTGTGGGTCTAATAGTGACTGGATACAAGATGCTCAATAAACATCTGTGGAAGGGGGCTGGAGAGATGGCTCAGTGGTTAAAAGCACTAACTGCTCTTACAGAGGACCGAGGTTCGATTCTTAGCACACACATGGCAGCTAACAACCATCTGTAACTCCAGTTCTAGGGGATCCATGCTTTCTTCTAGAATTGTAAAACACAGATGCACTTACACACATGCAGGCAATATACTTATACACATAAAAAAAAGTTCCAGGCCAGTTGGGGCTACAGAGAGAGACCCTGTCTCAAAAAGACCAACACACACACACACACACACCTGTGGAAGAAGTGAATGAATACATAATTTAACTAGGTGACATATGCTGTGGATATGTTATGTACTTTAAAAAAACCTGTTCATTTTTGCGGTTCTGGGGATGGAACCCAGAGGCTTCGCCCATGGTAGGCAAATGCTCTACTACTGACCTACAGTCCCAGCCATTAGCCGTTTTGAGAAAGACTCTCACTGTATAGCTCAGCCTGACAAGCAAAATTCATGACCCTCCTGCTTTAGCCTCCTGAGTGCTGGGACCACAGGCCTGTACTGGCATGCTCAGCCTGCTATGCTTTTTTAATTTTGTCTTTTTGAGACAGGGTCTCCCTGTAGCCCCAGCTATCCTGGAACTCACTATGTAGACCAGGCTGGCCTCAAATTCACCAGGATCCGCCTGCCTCTGCCTCCCAAGTGCTGGGATTAAAGGCGTGTGCCACCATACCCAGCCTGCTATGCTTTTTGAAAAAATATTTATCTTATTTTCAAATTGTGTGTGCCTGTGCACAAGTGTGTGAGTGCAGGTGGTTGCAGAGGCCAGAAGAGGGCATCAGATATCCTGGAGTTGAAGTTACAGACAGTTGTAAGCTGCCTGACATGGGTGTTGAGAACTGAACTTAGGTCCAGTGCAACAGCAGTTAACCACTGAGCCATCTTTCCAACTCCCTGCTATGTTTTTAGCTTAGCAATTTGCTGTGTTTATCTCTTCACTTCAATATTTTTTGACATAGCTTCAGTCCTTGATGTTTTTTATGATTCCAAATAGTTTTCTTTCTGTTTTGAGACAGGGTCTCCCTGTAGCCCCAGCTCACCTGGAACTCACTGTGTAGACCAAGCTGGTTTCAATTTCACAGAGATCCACTTGTCTCTGCGTCTTGAGTGCTGGGATTAAAGGCCTGTGCCCAATTCCAGGTGGTTTAAGCAAGCATGTTAACCCAGCAGTGATGAAGACTGGGGCAGGAGTAGTGAGGAGCTGACCACATTCCGTTCATTTCTCCAACAGCCACAGGCACACAGCACACATATAGGGCTTTATAGAAGGAAAGATAATGGGAGAAGCCCAGGGACTAAAACCTCACCTACACATTGAAACAAACAGTTTCCCTGGCTTTATTTATTCTTGCTAGGTCACTGGTATCGTGTGTATCACCTCTCCAGCTCTGGGGTCCTCCTACCCTTACCGCAGGGGCTGCTGCCTGTGACAGCCACCGCCTCTTTCCAGTGAGCTCCTCTTCCTCATCACCTCCACTGGCATATTTCAGAGGCTGGCAGCCCTGTGTCCGTGGGTGACTGCCCCCGGGTTGATGGCAAATGCCTCCAGAACAAAATGCGCTTTTTATTTGTAGATACACTTTTCAGGTTTGGGGGTTAGCTGTGTGTGGAGAAAGCGGCACAGACTTCCAGGAGACAAGCTTGTCCTGCTCCTCCGGTCCCTGGTCCCTGGTCCTACCACGTGCCCTTCACTCTCTGCTGCTGGTCTCTGACCCTGTGTGGACACCTGTGGCTTTCATCTGTTTGCCCGTGTGGTTCACACATTCTGAATGGCATGGGGACATGTGGGGACTGCAGCTCAGCAGGGCAATGGCCTGTCCTTCCCTGTTCTTCCCCATGGTACCTGTAGCTAATTATTCCAGGAGACTGTGAACCTTAAGGGCCTGCCCTGGGGCTACGAATGCCCAGAGGAGGCTGGCCTCTCCTCTCCAGGAGGGAAGTTTTAAAAGCTTACATGTTCAAAGTGTGACTCTTTTCCGTAGGTTGAGGAACATTCCGGAACAGCAGCATGCTGTGTAGCACTCAGTGCGTGGGGGGTGGATGGAAGGCCTTGTTCCTATGCTGCATTTTCTGTTGTGAATTTGTCATCTTTTCAAAGGAAACATCTTTGATTTTTTTCTCCTTTCATTTGTGTGTCTGTATGTGTGTGCATGTGTGTGCTCGCACTCGCTCACATGCAGGTGATTTGTGTGCGTGTGGAGGCCTGGGGTTGATGTTGAGAATCTTCCCTGAGCTCTTATTCACTTGACGCAGGGTCTCTCAATCAAAGCCAGAGCTCACCAATATGGTGGGTCTCACTGGCCAGCCTGCTCTGGGGAATCCACACCTCCCTGCTGGACAAGTACCTTAACTGCTGGCCCTTTCCCTAGTCCAACTTCCTTGATCTTAAAGAGATTCCTAAGAAGTTCGTTTGTGATAGAAAAAGTGAGTTCACATAAAAACTATAATTCACAGAGATTTTACTTTTCTTTTTCAAACAGTGCTTCACTATATAGCCCTGGCTGACCTGGAATTCTCTATGCAGACCAGGCTGGGCTTGAACTCACAGAGGTCCACCTGCCTTTGCCTCCCAAGTGCTGGGATTAAAATTGTGCGCCACCGTGCCTGACTTGTTCTGTGAGACTGTAGCTCACTATGTAGCCCAGGCTAGCCTTGAACTCACTACAGTCCTCCTGCCTCAGCTGTCCATGTGCAGGGATCACATGGGGTATCACCACCTCCAGTTCAGTAGAACAGAGTAGACTCGGTGAGAGCATATTTTCTTCAGTTATATAATGACCGTGGCATGTCTAAATGAATGTGTAAGATTATATGAAAGGGAGTTGCTACAGATGAGACTGGACATCAGTATTCCTTTGGCGTAGTCCAGCTAATTGGGAGAGAAGTAGAGAGGAAAAACGCCAGCAGGAAGAGGATTTAAATTCACGTGTCATCAGAGGAAATATCCTGGGTGATTCATCACCAATTCAAATAGTCAAGAAAAATCTCCGAAAAGCCCCAGGAAGCTTAATTAGCTATGCAGAGGGTTGAACAGTTGGAAAATGTCACAGTTATAAACGACTTTTTCCCCCATGAGAACTGAGCAGTTCTTCATCAACAAATCCCACAAGCCTTCCTGACAAGTCTCCACTCACAGGACTGTATCACGTGGCTGGCAGGGCCTCCACCTCCAGAAGGAAGGGGCTAGCTTTGGAAGGTTACCCTGTTACTTTTTGAAGAACATTCTGGAATTCTGCCACTTAGCCTTCCTGGGCTTCATTTCCTCCTCGTGAAAAATGGGAGGAACTGCTCCTGTCGCCCATTTGTCTCCCAAGGGCGTTGTAGAGCATGAAGAGGAAGCCCATTTACCCACAAGCCTGTGCTGTGCATGGCAGGCCAATGGGCCTCCCTGGCCTAATAATGTGTCCTTGGGTTCTTCTGCTCCAGGTAAAGAGAGTCTAATTATCCCCGGACCTCTAGTTGGTAATATTTATTTACCATGACTCAGACAGACTTTGATTGAACGTTGAACTCAAAAGCTTACCTCAGGCCCTTGACCCCAGAATTCATTGATCGGGCCTGGCTGTTCTACTTCCTCTTCGCAGCCATGCTTGGGGGAATCAAAGTTCTGATCACTGCAGCTTCTGCCTCTGTCCAGGACTTCCTTTGTTTCTGGTTATCGTGGAGACCTCCTAGCTAGAGGTTTGCTGGGGGAAAGGGAGGGCTGGACCTGTGAGATGCTTTTGACTGACTGCATTTCCTTCGAGGGGCTCTAGTACCACTGTAGTCTCTGGCTGGGGAGAATCTACCTTCTCCTACCCCGTGTTGGGGAAACAAGCAGGGATGTGTTTGGGAGGAAGTGGGCCTTAGTTTTTCCTGAAAGCCATGCTGTCAGCTGTTGATGTGGGTCTCTGTGAGCCTGTCGACAACCACGTCATTCACCTACGGGTGGGCTAAGAGGCCTTTTGGGGGTTGTTCTACATTGTGTCTGATGTCATTTCTCTGAGAATAATGTATACTGAGTTTTAAAAGATGGTTTCACACACATTTGGGATGCAAGCCATTCCTCAGCGGAGGACAAAGGGTGCAGAGCAGGGCTGTGGTGATGGATAGTTCTGGAACTGTGCTCTGTCTCGACAAGCCCTGGTGTGCGCAGATTTCATTCCCCAAGCTTTCATTTTCTTGATGGCTTCTCATTTCTCTCCTTGTTTGAATATTGAAAGCATGCAATTTTCTAGTCAGCCAAAAATGTCCAGTCTCCATGTGTGTACTAAAACTATTTTTTAGTGTATTGACATTTTATTTTTATAGTTTTATAAAAGGATTTATTTTTATTTTATTAATTGTTTAAAAATATTTATTTATTTATTTATTTATTATTTATTTATGTCTTTTTGAGACAGGGTCTTCCTGTAGCCCTAGCTAGCCTGGATTCACTATGGAGACCAGGCTGGCCTCGAACTCACAGAGATCCCCCAGCCTCTGCCTCCTGAGTCCTGGGATTAAAGGTGTGCGCCACCATGCCCGGCTTATTTATTTTTATGTGTTTTGAGTGTTTTGCCTGCATGTATGTAAGTATACTCATGTCATGCAATGCCTGTGGAGGCCAGAAGAGGATGTTGGCTCCCCTGGAACTGGAGTTAAGACAGTTGATAGCCGCCATGTGCATGCTGGGAATGGAATCCCGATCCTCTGCAAGAGCAGTCAGTGCTCTTAACTGCTGAGCCATCTCTCCAGTCCCCCTCTCTTTTTCCAAAGATAGTGTCTCAGGTCTTCCAGGCTGGCCTCAAACCCATCATGGAGCTGAGGCCGACCTGCGCTCCTGACCCTCAGGTGTGCACCACCACACCTCGCTTTCTTTTTAAATTTTATTTTTTGTCTTTTTGAAGCAGGGTCTCCCTGTAGCCCCAGCTGTCCTGGAACTCACTATGTAGACCAGGCTGGCCTTGAAATCACAGAGCTCCACCTGCCTCTGCCTCCCAAGTGCTGGGACTACATACAGGCATGCCACCATACCGGTCTTTCTTTTTAAATTTTAAATGATGGGTAATGATGCACATTGAATTTCTTGGTTGTTCAAGTCAAACTTTCAGAATCGTCTTTGACTCTTCATTCTTTGTTTCCATACCAAATCTGTCATCAAAGAAGGCCACCACCTTTGAATATTCAGGAGTCAGTGATCTGTCATTACCCAGTGTGAATGTGGACAGCACGCAGGCTCTTCTCAGGAGAACTGCCGCAGAGTGGCTGCCAGTCCTTCCTTTTGCCCTTCCTGCCCATGGGCCTGACTAGTGCTGAGTGGTCCTGTCAATCATGACACTGCTCCACCTCCGTGGCAGTAAGACCAGTCGAAGCTGTTGTGCTTAACCACGGGATCTCAGGTTCTCCAACTGTCCCTTGGTTACTTGATTTCTGACAGTTCTGCAAAATTTGCAGGCCACTTCCCACCGAGAATCAGCCATCCCGTAGGCTGTATCTGATGCCTGGATCTCTTTCTTCATTAATTTTTTTTTTTTGTCTGTTTTGAGACAGGGATCACTATGTGGTCCAGGGTAGCTTTGCACCTACAACAGTCCTGCCTTGAGTGCTGGGATCACAGATGCACCACTGCCACATATGGAAAACTTCCTTTTTAATTTTTTTTGTTTTTAATTTTTTTTGTTTTTTTTTTTTTGAGAAAGGGTCTCCCTGTAGCCCCAGCTGTCCTGGAACTCACTTTGTAGACCAGGCTGGTGTTGAACTCACAGAGATCTGCCTGCCTCTGCCTCCCGAGTGCTGGGATTAAAGGCATGTGCCACCACGCCTGGCGAAAACTTCCTTTTTAAAAAACGCTTTATTTTAATTATTTTTATTTTATGTATATGAGTGTTGCCTGCATGTATATAAGTGCACCCGTGTCGTGCAATGCCTGTGGAGGTCAGAAAAGGGTGTCAGAGCTCCTGGAACGACTTACAGATAGTTGTTAGCTATCCTAAGCTGCCAGGTGGTGCTGGGAATCGAACCCGAGTCATCTGCAAGAACAACCAGTGCTCTTAACAGCTGAGCCATCTCTCCAGCCCCAAACTTTCTAATTTCTAAAATACCAATATATAAACAAATAAAATTGTATTCAGTATTTCCTCAGCAAAAGTAACCACAAACTCAGGACAGAATATGAAATAATGAGTTGTGAAAATTTTTATTACAACTAATTTTCTTTTTTTAAGATTAAAAAATTAATTTGGGGGGCTGGAGAGATGGTTCAGCTGTTAAGAACACTGGTTGTTCTTGCAGATGACCCGGGTTTGAATCCCAGCACCCACATTGTGGCTATCAACCATCATAACTCCAGTTCCAGGGGATCCGCCGCCCTCTTGTACTCCACTGGCCCTGCATGACGTGGTGCACTTACATACATGTAGGCAATACACTCATACACGTAAAATAAATTTTGTGTGCACACGCACAATCCACAGCACACGTGCACGTGCGGAGGTTAGAGGCCATCTCGTGGGACTCAATTCTAGCCTCCACCATGAGGATCCTGGGAACTGAACTCAGATCTTCGGGATTGGCCTTAAGTGCTTTTCCTGGCTCAGCTATCCAGGCTGGGCCCAACACGTGACTTACGATTTCAAAGACAAGAGTGGAAGGCAGAATTGAGAGCCCAAAGGTACCACTTTGAGTCCTAACCACAGGGAGGAAGTCTGCTCAAGAGTGCAAAAGCCATGACCGGTCCGCACACGCGGAGCTGCAGCCCGCCATTGCGCAGAGCCGCCACTGGGGGGCGCGAGAACACCGCGGTTCGGACAGGGCGTCCGGGACCCAGGCTTGACCTCCCGGGCCGGGGAGTTCCCGGATGACAAACTTACTTGGCGCGCAGTTCCCTTGCTTGCTGCAAGGGGTTACAGCCTTCAACGCACTCAACTCAGCGCTGTGACCTGCTCAGCACCCGTTTCCCCGCCGGGGTGAAGCGAGCGCGGTGCCGGCTGATTCAGCGATATTTTACGGACCACGGGGCTCGCAGGGCTCCGTAAGTAGTTCCCTTGCTGTGGCTGCCACTGTCAAACCAACGTGGGCTCTCCATAGCGTATGATGCCCAGTAGGTAGGATCCAGTGTCTGCAGATGGGCACCAGCCTTTGGTCCTCTAGGCGTTTCCCCGCCGGGGTGAAGCGAGCGCGGTGCCGGCTGATTCAGCGATATTTTACGGACCACGGGGCTCGCAGGGCTCCGTAAGTAGTTCCCTTGCTGTGGCTGCCACTGTCAAACCAACGTGGGCTCTCCATAGCGTATGATGCCCAGTAGGTAGGATCCAGTGTCTGCAGATGGGCACCAGCCTTTGGTCCTCTAGGCAGGATGAAGACATTACAAAATTAATTCAGTGTGTGTGAGTGCACCCATGTCATGCAATGCCACGGAGGTCAGAAGAGGGCGTCGGGGTTCCCTGGAACTGGAGTTAAGGACAGTTCGTAGCCACCATATGGGTGCTGGGAATTGAACCTGGGTCCTCTGCAAGAGCAGTCAGTGCTCTCAACCATTGAGCCATCGCTCCAGCACCCAGATTGAAGACATTTAAGGCCATTACAAATATTTATCAAAACTTTGAGATGAAATTTTAGGGTTCAATGGCCGCTGTGATAGAGGTGGGCAGTCCTTACTGAAAGAACTGAACTGAAAGATTCTGTATGAGAAATGTTCTTACTGTTAGCTTCCCCAAACTGAAAAGCAGAGCTTTATATATGTGTGTGAGTGGGTAATTTGTGTTTTTATCCAGTTAAAAATTTCCATCCTTGGGGCTGGAGAGATGGATCAGTTGTTAAGAGCACTGGCTGCTCATGCAGAGGACCTGGGTTCGATTCCCAGCACCCACATGGTAGCTAACAACTGTCCATAACTCCAGTTCCAGAGAATCCAACACCCTCTTCTGACCTCTTTGGGCACTGTACGACAAGAGTGCACTTACACAACACGGGTAATACACCCATACACAGAAAATAGAATTAATAAATAAAATATTAAAAAATTCCATCTTTTTTCTCTCAAGTAAGGGATATATTCCAAAAAATTAAATCTGGTTAGATTAGTATCTTTCATACTTAAGATCAGGTAAGATAAAGTCTTTACCCACCATGATGACCTGAAAGGCAAACAACTAAATGAATGTTGGTGTGGACCACTGTGTTGACATGTGAAAAAGAATAGCAGATGTTTTAAAGCATTTATTAATTTCCTTGGTTCTGATACCCCCCTGCCTTCATTTTTAATTTTTCCAAAGAAGGCTTATTCTTTTTTTTTTTTTCAGTGAGCAAAATTTTTTTTGGCTCTTCAGTAGACTGTATGAGAGAAGTGAGGACATAGCTCATCAACCTCTTATTGCACATTATGGCCATGGTGGAGCTAGGCTTCGTGGGAGCTAACTTAAAGCTTATGCAGCTTGAGGCCTTAAAATTAAAAAAATTTTTTAGAGAAAAAATTTTCGAGAGATGGGTCAGTGGTTAAAAGCACTGGCTGCTCTAGCAGACTACCTAGGTTTGGTTCCTAGCACATCTGTAACTCCAGTTCCTTGGGAACAACACCCTCTTCTGGCCCTCCTTGGTATTGCATGTATGTGTTGTGCCCTTACATACATGCAGGTGAAATACCCATACACATAAAATAGAACAAAAATAAATAAATAGCTGGGCATGGTGGCACATGTCTTTAATCCCAGCACTCGGGAGGCAGAGGCAGGTGGATCTCTGTCAGTTCAAGGCCAGTTTGGCCTATGTCATAGTGAGTTCCAGGCCAGCTGGGGCTACAGAGAGACCCTGTCTTAAAAAAAAAAAATTCAATTTAGGATGTATTTCCTTTTAAAAAGTATTTTGTTGATTATTTTATTTTATATATATGTTTTGCTTGCATGTATGTAAGTGTACCACCACCTGTGTGTAGTGCCTGTGAAGGTGAGATGAGAGTGTCAGATCCCCTGGAACTGGAGTAACCCACAGTTGTGAGCCAGCCAACATGGGTGTTAGGAACCAAACCCAGGTCTTCTACAAGAACAGCAAGTGCTCTTAAGCGCTGAGCCACCTCTCCAGCCCCAGCTGAGATCTTTGTTATTCCTTTAATAGATCATTCCCACAAAATTCTTCTTTTAGTGTGTAAACAAAGCAAAATAAAAGCCAACACAAACTTGTATGAAATGTGAATTTGTGTTTCACTTAAGAGTTTGGGGAAATGCCTTTCCTTGTGATTAGAATAGAATTACCTATGGCTTGTCCTTGAACTTAAAGCCATAATTATCAGCCATAGTTATCAGACCTCTGATACAGGCTAGACATTGAAGTGTTTTAACACATTGCTCCTTTAGTTATCAACAATTCTATGAGGTAGGAACCATTTTACAGTGAAGGAATTGAGGCTGGGGCAGTTTAAGTGACACATCTAGATATATGTGTTTTCTACCTTGTTGGCATCTGAATACAGACTTTTGCAAAACTGCCTTGCAGTGGTGTCATGGAAGCATCTCACTGAAGGAGAGCAGGAGGGTTTGAAACCTGGAGACAGCACTGTGTGCCTGCAGCTCTGAAAGGAGAAGCCACACATTTAGGGAGCACAGCACAGGAAAAGACAGACGTCTGGGCACTGTGTCAAACTTGGGGACTTGTATACTGGTGTGGTCATTTACCTGCTGGTTGGCTTGGCAAATTCCTAACTTTTCTGTGCTCCAACTTCCTCTTTTATTAAAAGAAGACAGTCTGAATCAGACATGAAGAGTGAATGGGGGAGTATACAACATTTAAACCAATGCCTGGCACAGTGAACCCCCAAAGCAGTGAGGGCTGGAGAGGAGGGTCAGTGGTTAAGAGCACATACCGGCAGCCGAGTTCCCAGCACACACATCTGGAGGCTTACAGCCACCCGTTAACTCTAGCACCAGGGAATCCGACCCACTCTCCTGGTCTCCATGGCATCTGCACTCACATGTGCACCCTCCCATAATTAAAAATTAAAAAATCTAAAAAATCACTGTCCATTAACATTTTTGCTTATTTGTCATTTGAAGTCTATGTAGCAAGCAAGTGCAGTGCAGTGTAAACAGTACAAAATGTTTAAAGTCCGTGTGGTAGGATAGCACTGTGGTACCAGCACTTGGAGCTGAGGCAGGAGGATCTTAAGTTTGAGGCCAGCTTGGCTTACTTACTGAGACCCTGTCTCACCAAAAGTAATTTCTTTTCTAATAGAAGTAATATTTGGTTAGGGACCTCTGGTATTTAGAGATTGCGTTCAGCATAGCAATATATAAGCATGTGTTCTCACTTTAAAAAATGAAAACACAAGGCCAGGCATGGTGGCACACGCCTTTGATCCCAGCACTTGGGAGGCAGAGGCAGGCGGATCTCTGTGAGTTTGAGGCCAGCCTGGTCTCCATAGAGAATCCAGGCAGCTGGGGCTACAGGGAGACCGTCTTAAAAAAAAAAAAAAAAAAAAAAAAAGAAAGAAAACATGTTCCAGGAAAATGAAAATTTTAAAACTTTGTATCGTATTTATTCCTCATATTGATTTAAAAGGGATCGCCATGCCATGGAAGAATTTCCAGTGCAGGTATGTTCTTGTAGATGTTATGAATTTTCAAGACTTAGTGCACTATTTATGTTATAAAATTGTTAATATCGTGCAGTTCAGCAGAAACAGTCCCGTAACATAATGAGAAGAGCCGCATCTCTACTCCTGATGCTCTTAATAAACACATTATTCATTTTTTATTCAATTTAACTGCAAATAGCTACATTGAAAACATTGCCATCGCGTACTTTTCTATTTTAGGATGGCAGGAAAATAAGTCCAGATAAGTGTCCACAGTGAGAAACAAAATGTAAATTATATAGTAGACAGAAAACATAAAAGGTTCTGATGTTTATGAATAACTCTATTTCCCAAAGGAATAAACATTAGTGGCTTTAATTAGATCGTAATTGCACATAAGAGCCTGCTCTGGCATGAGAGACACCTGACAGTGCATTGCGACTGAGCGGTACTGTCAGCCACGGAGGATGGATTCATGTAAATGCCACTCAGAGGCAGGGCACTCCCCAGCCGTGAACTAAGCCTTTAGTCAGCGCCAACATGATGGAAAGCAACTCTTATAATTAGGTCAAATTCTATTTGATCGTGACAGTTTCCCATCATGTTGAGGCTTAAGACAAGACGGTCTGTGGAGGCGCCTGGAATGTTATCTCTTACTGACATTCCTTATTTCACAAATGGAACGATGATAAGCAAATGAGAACACGCTCCCTTTTCAGAGGCTTCTTTTTACACTGCTCTTTAATTTGCTAGAGGAACTATCTGGACATAATTTGGTGTGGGATTAGATGCTGGGGTTTTCTTCCATTCCCTGGGCACGGATTTGGAGCCTGTTTACTCCATCAGTCACACTTGTCCAGAGGACCGTGTAAGAACACAGCATTCTGCAGTGTCCTTCGGTCTTTGAAAGACTCCGTTCTGCACAAAAAGCCACTTCAGCCCAGAATTCACTAGGCCCGTTGGAAAAGCAGCTAGTGTTTATCGACATGTAAAATGCCAAGTTCTCTGAAGTTTGTCATGTTTGTGATACTTTTGTAGAGAGGGAAGGAGGAAGGGAAGGAGGGAGGGAGGAAAGAGAGAGACTGGGAATATGGATGTGGATGTCACATGTGCGTTATCTGTTTCTGGACTTCCACAGGTTGTGATCCACCCAGCAGTCCAGGCCGAGACCAGGACAAGGTGGGCTTTATGGAGGTGTGTAATGAGCTTGTCTCTGGACTTCCCATATTTCACTGTGTTGAGTAAACTTTCCCATGGAGCCTTTCAGAGCCCACTGAGTTCTTCCAGAGCCACCAATTTAGAAGTTAGCACTGGATCGAAACGGTTCCATTAGTCATTGGAACAGGCTGGGGGAGACAAGTAAGCCCAGAGTACCTCGGTTTGGAGAGTGGGGTGGACTCTGCTCTTTGGAACCAGGCCTTATGCTGGAAGATGCTAGAAACCTGGGGCTTTGTGGCAACTTTCCACAAATAAATACTAATCACTAGTTAAAAGAAAAACTTAGTTTCTAGCTCTCTAGAGGCTGAGGAGAATCACAAGTTCATGTCTAGCCTGAGCTACACAGCAAGACCCTGTCTCAAAGCCAAAAACAAAGACAAAATCACAAACAAACACAAAATGACTCAGTGTTCTTGCCATCAGCATCTGGTGCCCTTTTATGATACCTGTATATATTTTAAATATTTTACTTATTATTATTATTATTTCTATTTTACGTGTATGAGTGTATTGCCTGCATGTATGTAAGTGAACCCATGTCATGCAATGCCCAAGAAGGTCAGAAGACAGCATCAGATCCCCTGGAACTGGAGTTATGGATGGTTGTTAGCTGCCATGGTGCTAGGAATTGAACCTGGATCCTCTGCAAGAGCAGCCAGTTCTCTTAACCACTGAGCATCTCTCCGGCCCCTATGATACCTATATTAAGAATTAAAAAAAATCTGTCAATCTCATTCTCTTTTCTGCCCCATAGATCAAATGCTGAAACCCACACAAAAAAGAGCCACCAGACCAGCATGTTGCACTGTGTCATCCTCTGCCAGGGACAGCCCTTCCAGGTACCACATCACCGTCTGATTGTGTATGACTAGTGGTACAGTGTGGCAGCGATAGCGTGTGTTCAAAGGGAAAGATGAGTGAGGAAGCTAGCTGCACTGACGCACATGTGGAGCTCTCTGTTTATTTAAACCCTTGTCCATCTATGTTGCTGGGTAGATGAGGGAACAGATGGGCAATCTGGGATTTAACAGCACAGTTTCAGTGCCAGTTCAACCTCTAACTCCAGGTGCCCTTTGACAAACAGAGCCGTCCTGTGCTGTGGCATCTAGTTTCGAAAAGGTACTTCAAGCAATTAAGATACTCTGAAAATACCAAATTGCACTTGAAAGCTTTTAAATGACAGAGGCTGTGGTTTTGGACAAACCAATTTTCTGTTTCTTAAAAAGAATTTGCCCTGTACAGCCAACATAGATGGGCATACGCAGAAGAAGGCAGACATGTAGTGATACACATGAAAATCTATCTCCTTTTGGAATGGAATTCAGCATTGCTGTGCTGTGACTCCTGAGGTAGGTGTGAGAACACAGGAAGGGAATGCAGAGGTCACTGGTCAGCACCAAACTGCTACCGAGTCGGCAAACAGTGCATGAAACGAACAAATTGACTTCGGCCAGAATTAGAAGATTTGGACCGTTGGTTGGCAAAATATACTTTAGCAATCTTTTTTTGTCTTTTTGAGACAGGGTCTCCCTATAGCCCCAGCTGACCTGGAACTTGCTATATAGATCAGGTTGTCTTTGAACTGACAGATCCATCTGCCTCAGCCTCCCTAAGTGCTGGGATTTAAGGTGTGCACCACCATGCCTGGCTATACTTTAGTAATTTGTAAGATTAAGGGGTAAATTGTTGAAAGGTACTTCCTTTCAAACCAATTATGTCCATCTGAAGTCTACTGATTAATAGTAATTCTGCAACATGTGACTTTGGAATAAAGTTTTCTTTCCCTTTCCTCCTAAGAGACCAGATACAAACCAAATACAAGACTCACCTCAGTAGCTGAGCAGGGGCTCCTGATTTGTAATTGGAGGCAGCAGCACTATTGCATCATGGGATCACTGTAACGTTTACAGAAAATAGTCTATGTTCCCATGCTTAAGAGAGTACTGAAAAAATTACTAGGTATCAAGTAAATGGCAGCTGCAATCACTGTTATAAAATGACTGGTCTGGGGCTGAAAAGATGGTTCAGCAGTTAAGAGTGCTTGCTGCTTGCTGGGCATGGTGGCATACGCCTTTAATCTCAGTACTGGGGAGGCAGAGGCAGGCGGATCTCTGTAAGTACAAGGCCAGCCTCGTCTACAAAGTGAGTTCCAGGCCAGCTGGGGCTACAGGGAGACCCTGTCTCAAAAAGACCAAAAAATCAAAAATTAAAAAAAAAAGTGAGTGCTTGCTACTCTTGCAGAAAACCTGAGTTCGAATCCCAGCACCCATACTGGGAGGCTCACAACTGCCTGCAAGTCCAGTTCCAGGGGATTCAGTTCCTTCTTATGGCCTTCAAGGGCATACACACACACACACACACACACACACACACACACACACACACACAAAATCTTTCAAATGATGAGTCCAGCCAGTCTAGATCCAGTCTTTTAAGTACAAGGGGGCAGGGGATGTGATCTTAAATTTGTCCATAAGTAAGTGTTTAGATCAAACAAAGGTCTTCCATACTGCTGGAAACAGTATAAAAGTTTACATAGTACTTTATAAACAACTTTATTGACCTGATTTGACTATATGCACTAATAGTTTAAGTACTATTAAAAAGGACATGAAAAGTTATTAAAAGGATGGTTCTATTTATTTTCAGAATGGTTGCAAGAAAAAAACTGACATAATGCTTAGTTGCATTGGGAGATGTGCGGAGTAAAATTCGACCTGATTGTAATGCACTGAAGACTGTGACAGCCGCGACAACCTCTTTCCCTGCAGAGCCTGTAGTCCATCTTTTGTGGGTGGACTGCAGGCCTTGAGGGATAGAATTACCAAAGCTGGAGGTCAGTAATTCCAGCAAGATTCCATTTTTGTCCAGTATAGTAGTGCGATGTGATGAATGTGGCGTTTTAGTGATGGCAGAACTGCTCTTGGGAATTAACAAGTGGAGTTAATTAAGAGCAGCTCATGATGGTGCTTTACACTTGAAATAAACGGAGCAATTTTTGGACTTTCTCATTTGAGACTTGCTAGGATGGTGGCACATGCCTGTGAATCCCTTCACTTGACAATTATGAGCGTGTGGCTAGCCTGGGCTACATGACAAGACCTCATCTCAAAAAAGCCAAATACAAAACCCAAACACATCCTTTATCTGAGCCGAGGCTGTGGCAGCAGTAGTGTGGCTGGAAGTTCAAAGTGATGGTTTCTATAACTAAATGTTTTCAACTGGGGACTTGGAAAAATAGCCTTGGGAAAAGGATCAGAAAAATTTTTTTTTTTGGTCTTTTTGACACAGGGTCTCCCTGTAGCCCCAGCTGGCCTGGAACTCACTATGTAGACCAGGCTGGCCTCAAACTAGGCGTGCACCACCACTCCTGGCAGGATCAGAAAATGCTTTAAATGAGGTTGGACATTTCATATTATATTGGCTAATAATTTATAAGATCAGTGTGCTAATCTCTGAGCTATAGAGTCATGGCTGCTAATTAATATAAAAATACGTGATGATAGAGTGCAGGGAGCTTCAGTGTGAACCTGAAATAGCCTGAAGTCACCTGAGAAGGCGTCTCAGTCTTGGGACTGCTCAGATCAGATTGACCTGTGGGCGTGTCTGGGGGATTGTCTTGATTGCTAATTGATGTGGGAGAGCCCAGCCCACTGTGGGTGGCGCCATCCCTAGGCAGGTGGTCCTGGGCTCTATAAGTCAGCTAGCTAAGCATGGGCTTGAGTGAGCCAGAAAGCAGCGTTCCTCCATGGTTTCTGCTAACCGGGATACAGGCTCTGAAAGATAATTTTGAAGCAGATTCCAAATCCAAAGCAATACCGAGTTTACACGGAGCACTTTTGACATCACTAAAGAGTGTGTTTTATGAGGGAACCCAGGACAGTAACTGTGTAGGTGTATATTTTTATTTTTCTATTGGTAAACTTCATAAAATTCAGTGTCTGGACAGGGCCCGACCACATCCAGAATGGTTGGTATGCCTCCCGGGATGCTGTATTTTTATTCAGAGTAGCTATGTGGGGAAGGAAAGTTCCTGAATCCCAAGGATATCTTAAACACACTAAACATGTATTAGATGTGGCTGAGCTCCAGAGTGTCTGGGCAAACTGAAAATGGCCCAGAAATGTCTGTAAAAATCTATGAAACATGTCTATGAGTTGAATTCAATCACACATTCAAGGTCCTTAAACGCGTTGGATAATCAACATTTATCACGTGACCTGTACCCAGCGTTGCGCAGAAGGAAAACGAAAAGTTCCGCCCAAGGCAGAAGGAGCGAGCGGTCAGGGCGCCTGCTGAGTGAGGGCGGACTGGCATCCCAGATGCTGCGGCTGTCGTTCTGAGTAAAGTGAACGCTGTCGAGCTCGTTATAAAGAATGACCACGAGCCAGGAGCTCCTCATCCTCAGGGAGGCCCCTCTCTTCGTAATTATGAAACATTTAAAAATGCTCTTTTTTTTTGGTCTTTTTGAGACATGGTCTCCCTGTAACTATGTAGTCCAGGCTGGCTTTGAACTCACAGAGATCTGCCTCCCTCTGCTTCCCAAGTGCTGCAATGAAAGGCGTGCGCCACCACACCTGGCTTATTTTTATTATTATTATTATTATTATTATTATTTTTTTGAGACTTGAGACAGGGTCCCCTTGCAGCCCCAGCTGGCCTGGAACTCACAGAGATCCACCTGCCTCTGCCTCCCAAGTGCTGGGGACAACAGGCATATGCCACCACGCCCGGCTTTTTAAAAAATTGTTATTTATTATTTTCATTTTATGTGTGTGTGCATGTATTGCCTACATGTAGGTAAGTGCACCCGTGTCGTGCAATGCCTGCAGAGGTCAGAAGAAGCTGTCAGATCCCCTGGGACTGGAGTTACGGACAGTTGTTAGCTGCCATGTGGGTGCTGGGATTCGAACCCGGGTCATCTGCAAGAAAATCCAGTGTTCTTAACCACTGAGCCATCTCTGCTAAAACCACAGAAGGGAATCTCGAGGCTTTCTCCCTGGCTAGTTTGGGAACGTTCATTTGTGGGTCCAGCAGCCACAGGGCAGGGGAACACCATCGCCGTCTGCTCCCGAGGCTGATCTTGGGCTTTCCCTGCTCTGCTTTGCATATTTTACTTCATCTTGGATGTTGGATCTTCAGCACATTTTTTGCATCTGAAGTGCAAAGGGCGTCTGGCTCCCCTGGCCTCCTCCTTGGCCCTCCCTCTCATGTGGATAAGTGGACACTCAGCACAGTTTGCGGCCACAGTCGATGAGGTTCCTATATCAAGTCTAGAAGGAAGGATCAGCCAGATTTCCAGTGAGCTGATGCCTGCTTCCTGCTGTCCCACACCCCCTTATGCTCAAACAGCCTCCCTTGCAAAGGTGAGAGGCAGCCCTACTTGGAGATTGGCTGCATGCTGTGTTCAGTCTGCAGATGTGTTGACCCAGTACCCTGAGAAGGACAAGGTCAGTTGTAACTTGCACAGGAAACAGCCCTGACCAGATGAAGAGTCAGAGAGCTGGGAGGTGGTCTGTTGGTGACGACCTCAGGTACTCATGAAGAACTGACGCACTCATAACTGAATTTTTAGGGCTGGGATGTAGCTCAGTGGCAGAATATTTGCCCAGCTCCTGGAAGGCCCTGGGATGGGTCCCTAGCAGTTAGAGAAAATAAAAAGTTTAGAGTCAGGTGCAGTGGCACGGTCTGTAATCCTTGCACTTGAGCAACTGGGATGGGGCAGGGGACCAACAGTTCTAGGCTAGCCTGGGCTACATAGCAGACCCTGGCACAAATACACAAGAAAGCAAGACAAATGTCTGTGCCATTTCATAGTGCAAAACTGCTATCACGTTAAAAAAACAAAACAATAGAAACAAAATCTTTTTAGAGTCTAGCTAGATACCAGCTTCCTGAAGGCTCTAATTCTGGGGCGTTTCCTACTTTTGTCAACATAGATATAAAAAAAATGCCAACATCCCTTTTCTGAGAGATTATACATCCAGAACAACATTGGGAAGGTTTGTGCACAGCTGTGACAAATGACCTATATCCATAAGGTTATTTATTGAAGCATAGTTTATGTAGCAGAATGCTGGGAGAAAAAGTATTCCCCCTGTCAGTTACTGTTCTCACAGTCGTGACCAAATCCTGACAAGAAGCGATTTAGAGAGGAAGGATTTATTGTGGGTCATGATTTCAGAATAAGGTGCATCATGGCTTGGGGGCGGGGGTGTTGGTGGTAGGAGGCTGCTCGATCACATCTCTGTGGGCGAGGAAGTAGAGATAGGATAGGAAATAGACCAAGCTCTAAACCTCAGGTACCATCCCAGTGACCCCCTTTCTCCTCAGTGTTCTGCAACCTCTCAGTACAGTGCCACCTTCTGGGGGCCAAGGGCCCCTCAGGAGCCTATGGGTTCACATTGACACCAGGATACTCCCTGATGGAAACTAACAGAAATCATGGTGCATCCACGCAGTGGGAGGTGGTGGAGATGCTGGAATTTTGTGGCAGGTTTTATTAGAAGTAGATTGCTAGATGAAAAAGTTGTCTCCCTCCCCCAAACCCCTACCCTGTTGCAGTCCACATTCATACAAACAGATTTGTATATATAGGGTAAGCATCTCTAATTGAAAATCTGGAAATCCAACATTCTCTAAAAAATAAAAAAATGTTTGAGATTCAATGTGGTGCCACAAATGGAAGATTCCACTGATGACCTCACGGCAAGTGTCAGTTGAAATACAGGTGCACTAAAAATGGGATGTGAAATTACCTTCCAGCTATGTAAGTAAAGTGTATATGAAACATAAAGAGGGGTTGGAGAGATGGCTCAGCGGTTAAGAGCACTGACTGTTCTTACAGAGGGCCCAGGTTCAATTCCCAGCATCCACATGGCCGCTATGAACCGTCCTTAACTCCAGTTCCATGGGAATCCAAAGCCCTCTTCTGACCTCCGTGGCATTGCATGACACAGGTGCCCTCACATACATGCAGGAAATACACTCATACACATAAAATAAAAATAAAAATTTAAAAAAAGAATTAGGTGTTTGCCTGTGTTGTTTGCCGCATTGCACAACACAGGTGCACTCACATACATGGAGGCAATACACTCATACACATAAAATAAAAATAATAAAATATTTTTTAAAAAAGAAACAAATTTCGTATCTAGACGTGAAACTCATCCCCAAGGTATCTTAGTATATATATGAAAATGTTAAAAATCTAAAAAAAAACAAAACCCAAGATCTAAAATATTTCTGTCCTAAGCATTTGGATGACTGACACTCAGCCTGTGTATGGACTGCCTCTGGAAGGGCTTCTACGAAACTAGTGGTGGTTGGGGCTGGAGAGATGGCTCCGTGGTTAAGAGTGTGTACTACTCTTGCAGAGGACCCAGGCTCAGTTCCCAGCACCCATGGTGGATGGTTCATAGCCACTGGTACCTCTATCTCTAGGGGATCTGACGCCTCTGCTGGATCCAAGAGCAACTGCACTCATGTGCACATCCCCAACCCCCAAATGCACATAAACATAAACAAACAAATGGAAGAAAGTTGTGGTAGTGATTGTGTCCTGGGAATGGGCAGGAAGGAGGCAGTACAATTTTGTTTCTGGAGGAATGTGTGTAGTATTTACGTAGCTGTGGCACTAAATTAAATTCCCATCAACAGCACATGGGAATTCCTTTTTCAACTCCAGGCCAATATTTGTTAATTTCTGCCTTTTTTCAGTAGTTATTTTAACTAGGTAAGATAATGACCTTATATATGTTTAAAAGTCTTCTCTAGGCCGGGTGTCGTGGCATATGCCTTTAATCCCAGCCCTCGGGAGGCAGAGGCAGGCGGATCTCTGTGAGATTGAGGCCACCCTGGTTCACAGTGTGACTTCCAGATCAGCTGTGAGTAGAGAGACCCTGTTAAAAAACAACCAAGAAACAAACAAACAAACAAAAAAATCACCATTTTCTGAAATGCCACCAGCGTGAAGGCCCCTCCACACACACCCGGCCTTT